AGTCTTTTAAAAACATGTTGCGTATTTTTTGTTTGGACGCAGGGAAGGAGTGGGATGAGGGGGTGCCCCTTCTCCTATTCGCTATACATGGTGCAGTACAAGAAGCCACCGGCTTCAGTCCTGCCGAGCTAGTATTCGGTCACACTGCTCGGGGTCCCTTAAAAATTGTACAGGAGCAGTGGTTGTCCCCAGATGCGTCGTCCCCATTGCATAACGTGTCCAAATTCGTCACCTCCCTACGTGATAGAATGTCAGCCGTTAGGGAATTAGCTCGTCGGTCTCTCGGAGTCGCGTAGGAGAAGATGAAGGGCTGTTTCGATATGTCCGTGAAGACCCGGTGCTTTCACCCAGGGGATCGCGTTCTAGTCCTTCTGCCGTTGCCCGGGTCCTCCCTGCGCGCTCGTTTTTTGGGTCCTTATGTAATATGGGAAAAACTTAGTCCAACCAACTACGTCCTAGAGACTCCTGATCGCAGGAGGAAATCTCGTATCTGTCATGTCAACATATTAAAACCCTACCTTGCTCGCTCGGTTTCCGTTCCTTCGTCCGACTCTGCTCCGGTCCCCACTCCTGCAGGCATCGTGTCTCTGAGCCAGTATTCTCCGGAGAGTGACGACTTGCACCTAGGTCGGAACTGTCTTCCTTGTGCTCGTCTCCCCAACTCTGAGGCTCTGCAAAACCTTACGTCCCGGCTCAGCCACTTACCTCGGTCCGCCCAGAGTGATGTTACGTCTTTGATAGAACATTTCCGGTCCCTATTTGCCGATGTTCCCTCGCGTACCCCTGTGATTGTGCACGACATCGATGTTGGTGATCATCTCCCTATTAAGCAACATCCCTATCGTGTCAACCCTCGGAAAAGGGCTTTGTTGTCCCAAGAAACCACCTACCTGGTAGACACTGGTCTCGCTGTTCCCAGCAAAAGCCCGTGGTCTTCACCTTGCCTACTTGTCCCCAAGCCCGATGGCACCTTTCGTTTCTGCACAGATTACCCTCGTATGCACAGCGCACCCTCTTCCTCGTATGGAGGACTGTGTTGATCACATTGGTTCTGCGAAGTTCGTGACTAAGTTAGACTTGTTAAAAGGGTATTGGCAGGTTCCCCTTACGCCCCGCGCCTCGGAGGTCTCTGCCTTTGCTACCCCAGACGCCTTCCTTCAGTACACCGTGATGGCCTTCGGGTTACGAAACGCCCCAGCTACCTTTCAGAGGCTTATGCACAAAGTACTTGTTGATGTCCCTAATTGTGAGGCTTACCTAGATGACGTGGTTGTTTATTCGGACTCGTGGGAAGAGCATATTTGGCTGCTGGAGCAAGTATTCACCCGGTTATGGAATGCTTCACTAGTGCTCAACCTCGAGAAGTGTGAGTTCGGTCAAGGTATGGTCAGCTAATCCGGGGAAGATGGTTGGCCAGGGGAAGGTCAAGCCCCTGGACGTGAAAGTCCAGGCCATAGGCTCATTTCCCGTCCCACAGACGCCGCGGGAATTGAAGCGGTTTCTGGGGATGGCCGGCTACTACCGGTGTTTCTGCCGGAACTTCTCTGATGTTGTCTCCCCACTTACCCATTTGCTTCGCAAAGGCACGAAGTTCATTTGGTCTCCTGTATGTCAGGCCGCGTTCGAGGCTGTGAAACTGCTATTAAGTAGTTCCCCTGTGTTGGCTGCCCCAGACTTTTCTATCCCCTTCAAGCTAGAGGTGGACGCTAGTGGCATAGGCGCCAGTGCCGTCCTCCTGCAAGAAGATCGCCACGGTCTCGATCACCCCGTATGCTACTTCTCTAGGAAGTTCGTGAAGCACCAATTAGCGTATAGTGCTATCGAAAAGGAGGCCCTCGCCCTCTTGTTAGCCTTACAGCACTTTGAGGTGTACAAAGGTGACAGCGTCCAGCCGGTGGTCGTTTATACGGACCACAATCCCCTAGTGTTTCTGAACCGTATGTGCAACACAAACCAGCGCCTCATGCGCTGGGCTCTCATCGTACAATCATTCAACTTAGAGATTAAACATAAGAAAGGGGTTAGTAACCTTGTGGTGGACGCTCTTTCCCGCGCTTAGTCCTCTCCTGTTCTTCGGATCTTTTGCTCATTGTTTGTGTCGTATCTGTGAACTCCTGTCGGGTTCGTTCTTGTGTGGGGGGGTGTTACAGGCCGTAGTTCTAGGAAGGAGCCCTGAAGTCCCTCCGTCCCTCCCGTTGTCGTCACCCTGGCTCCGCCCCTTCGTCTCGACCCCGCCTACGTCTCCTGCGATGCGTCATGCATCACTTCCGTTTCCGGATGCTGAAGAGCCGGCCGGCGACGAACCCCATGAGCTCTGCTCGTTTGATTGCTTGTTTTGGATTGTTGGATTGTTGGATTATTGTGTATGACTGCTTTCTTTCTGGACTACGACTTTCGCTTTTTCCCCTTCTCGGTACTTTCGCTTTGGTTTATTGATTTACTGGTTTTGATCTCTCGCCCGGCTCTC